ATACTTTTGACTTAATTTTACTTCTATAAATCAAACCTGTAAATAAATGCACATTGTACATTTCAACATTCATTTCAGAAATGCTTCAGGAACAAAAATGGGAAACAACTGAAATGCCTATCAATAAGTTAAAAGTGTGTACACCCACATTAGTGAATATTTTACATTTATTAAAACCAATAAGTCAAGTCTGTGATTATTGATTATGAACTAATTTCCAGAATATATTACATGAGAAAAAGCAAGATGCAGAACAGTGTACACAGTATGTCATCATTTGTCATTTGTGCCCAAAATGGACAACACACATACATATATGTTTTTTATCTGCATCAAATGTCTGTGGAATAATACATAAGTAACTGGCAAGAGTGGTTGTCTCTGAGGAATTGCTTTGTACTGATTGCATTTTTTGACATGCGCATGGAAAAGAAAGGGGGAGGGGAGGAGAAGGGAAGGGGAAGGGAGAAAGGGGAAGGGGAGGGGGACCTTTGGAGGAAGGTAATGAGTTAAGCTTCAGATCAGTAAAATATGCTCTATTTGCAGGACATCCAGGGATATATTTTCAGAAGCAGTTGCAATTGCAGTACAGAGGATGAGAAAGAAGAAGAAACTGCAGATTAAAAACAAAGCTTAGTGATTTTTTTTTTTTTTTTCTGTCGCCCAGGCTGAAGTGCAGTGGCAAGATCTCGGCTGACTGCAACCTCTGACTCCCGGGCTCAAGTGACTCTCCTGCCTCAGCCTCCTGAGTAACTAGGACTACAGGCATGTGCCACCACACCCAGCTAATTTTTGTATTTGAGATGGGATTTCACCATCCTGGCCAGGATGGTCTTGATCTCTTGACCTTCTGATCCAAGTGCCTCAGCCTCCCAAAGTGCTGGGATTATAGGCGTTGAGTCACCGAGCCCTGCCGATTCTTTAATGTGTAGCGACATTTGGAGAAATGGGTAGATCATCTCGAGAGAGAATAGAAGTACTAAGACAGAAAATATGGGCAATACAATATTTTTACAGCAGGTAGAGGAAGAGAGGCCAACACAATTCACAGTGGAGTGACCAGAGAAAGAAAAACAACAGAGCAATAGTGGAGGAAGTTTCCCAAAGAAAACCCTCAGTTTTCCACAGTACATGATTTAAGGTCACTGAAAAAGGCCACATGCACATGGTATATTGTATGAAAAGTAAATGTAACCGACAACATATATGTTTCTATGCTAATTAAAGACTAGAGTATTGGCCAGGCATGATGACTTATGCCCGTAATCCCAGCACTTTGGGAAGCTGAGGTGGGTGGATCACAAGGTCAGGAGCTCAAGACCAGCCTGGCCAACATGGTGAAACCCCCTCTCTACTAAAAATATAAAAATTAGCAGGGCGTGGTGGCAGTCACCTGTAACCCCAGCTACTCAGGAGGCTGAGGCAGGAGGATTGCTTGAACCCAGGAGGCGGGGGTTGCAGTGAACCGAGACCTCGCCACTGCTCTCCAGCCTCTGTCTCAAAAACAAAACAAACAAAAAAACTAAAGTGTTATCTCTTCTTTTTTTTCCCTCTCTCTGAACTTTTTATTGGCCTCCTGCTCCCCAAAGGGTCCCCTGCTTCTGCTGGCTTAATGTCTCAGAACTTTGGCATCATTGGTCTCAGACACCACCTTGCCATCCACTATCCAGCAGGTGGTAGTCTTTTGGATGGTTTGCACGGAGTTGCTGCTGTCCAGGACATCACCAAGATTGAAGTCCTAGCCATCTTCCAGCAGGTGGTGGTAGGTGGCAATCTCAGCCTCCAGCTTGACCTTGATGTTCAGCAGGGCCTGGTACTCCTGGGCCTGGTGCTGCCCCTCTGCCCAGGTCTGTGCTAGCTCTGACTCCAGGTGCAGCAGGATCCCCTTGAGCCGTTCCATCTGCACAGAGTAGCGGGCCTCCATCTCCCTCAGGCTGTGCTCCAAGCTGGCCTTCAGATTTCTGATTTTTCATTGAGTCCAGTCTATCTCCAGGGACTGGACTCTATGTCTCAGCTCCGTGAGCATCATCTCAGCAGCACCAACCTTGGCGGACTGCGCGGTGACCACTGTGATGTTCTCCTCAATCTGCTGAGGCCAGCACTTGTCCAGCTCCTGTCAGTTCTTCCAAGCCAGCTCGTCATATTGGGCCCGGATGTCTGCCATGATCTTGGCGAGGTCCTGAGATTTGGGGGTATCCACATCCACAGTCAACCCAGAGCTGGCAGTCTGGGCTTGCAGGCCTTTTGCTTCCTCTTCATGGTTCTTCTTCATGAAGAGCAGTTCCTCCTTGAGAGCCTCGATCTCTGTCTCCAGCTGCAGCCAAGTGACATTGGTGTCATCAGTGGCCTTGCAGAGCCTATGGGTGTCGCTCTCCATAGACAAGCGCATGGCCATCTGTGTCTGATACTTGACTCTGAAGCCATCAGCAGCAAGACCGGCACTGTCGATCTGCAGAACAATGCGGGTATTATCTACAGTATTTGTGAAGATCTGAGCCCTCGGGTGGACAGTTTTGAAGAAATGACTCCAGGCTCTGACCTGGAGTCCCTTTTTCTCCAAGTGCTCCTGGATTTTGCGCTCCAGCTGCTGGTTCTCAGTCTCCAGGCTCCTCACTCTGTCCAGATAAGAGGCCAGGTGGTCGTTCAGGCTTTGCACAGTCTCCTCATTCTGGATGCCTCTTACTCCTGCCAGACCCCGGGCCATCCCCGTGGCCAGGCCCCCAGACCCCATGCCACACTGGAAGCTGGTGGAGTGGGACATGGAGATGCGGGAACCAGAGCCCCTGGCACCTGCACAGACACTGGCCATGCTGCTGACTGGCCAGGCGCTGTAGCTGGGCACCTGGACCGAGCCCGGGGACTGGTAGTTGGTGGAGAAGGTGGAGCCAGTGGTGAAGCTCATGCTGTCCCAGGAGGAGAGCGACAGGACAGGACTCAGGGTTTGCCTACGACGAGTGTTATCTATTCTTATAGGCACATACAAAACACTACATTTTGAGCTAGTAAAATAGCCTGTATCCCTATATATGATAATCGGTAGTTTTGCTTTGCAGGGGGCATAACAAAGAATCCTACAAAAATCTAACATTTAATCTCATTAATCAAAGGATGAACAAATATATAATGTGTGACACATTGTAGGAAATCAATAAGTAGCTATTGAATAAATGTGGAATTAGCACAATCGCTTTGTCAGGCTCAATGCAATGTTAATAGTTTAATAATTATAATACGTTCTGCAATAATAAGTTAAACAGCTATTAAATAGACAAGTAGTCAACTAGGAAACAGTTCCATTTATACTTTTCTAGTGCTTCTCCCTAATTGTAAGCAATAAATTTTAAATGCTTGTTAATTTTCCAGCTGAGGTGCAGGAAAAGAGGGAAGATGGTGGGGGGAGCTGAGGGCTGTGAGTGCATCACTGCCATTGTGAGACACTGTGACACACACAGATAATTACTCAAGTCACAAAGAAAAAAAGAGTAAGACATGAAAACGAACATTTTCTAATTACCATCCTAAAAGTGACTTAAAATGCATTTAAATAATAAATATTATACAGTAAATGAGGCACTGGGGAAGGCATTTTGGCAGTTACAAAATGAAATACACTCTTGCCATATGATCTAGTCACTGCACTGCTAGGTATTTGAGTCGAAAACACATGTTCACATAAAAACCTGCAGATGAAAGTTTATAGCAGCTTTATTCATAATTGCTAAAACTTGGAAACAAACGTACTATATGATCTCAGCTAATGCCATTCTGGGAAAAGCAAAACTGTGAAGACACTGAAAAGATGAGTGGTTGTCAGGGGTTGGGGTAGGGAGGGATAACAAGGTGGACACAAAGGATTTTTCAGGCAGTGAAACTACTCTGTGTCCTAATGTCATGGTAGATATATGTCATTTCATGTTTGTCAAAACCCACAGAGTATACATCACAATGAGGGAACTCCAATGTAAAGTATGGACTTTAGTCAATCATAATTTATATTGGCTCATCAACTGTAATAAATGTTCCACAGTAATGCAAGGTATTAATAATAGGGGAAATTAGTCAGGCATGTTGGTTCATTCCCGTAATCCCAGAAATTTGGGAGGTTGAGGAAGGTAGATGGAGACCAGCCTGAATCCCATCTGTTCAAAAATGCAAAATGTTAGCAGACATGATGATGCACAACTGTTGTCCTGGCTGCTTGGGAGGCTGAGGCGGGAGAATCACCTGAGCCTGGGAAATGGAGGCTGCAGTGAGCCAAGATTGTGCCACTGCACTCCAGCATAAGGGAAATTGTGTGGGATGAGGAGGTATATGGTAACTCTTTGTACTTTCTACTAATCAAAACCTAAAATTAATCAAAAAATAAAGTGTATTCATTTAGAGGGGGAAGTAAAGGAAGCATCCCCCCAAAGACATAAAAAGTAATATACAACTTGCTATAGTTTGAATGTTTGTGTTCCCTCAAAATTCGTATGTTGAAATCCTAAGTCCCAAAGTGATGGTATTAGAAGATAAGGCCTTTGGATAATTACGTCATGGGAATAGTCTTTCTGAATGGGTTTAGTGCCCTTATAAAAGAGGCCTGAGACAGACTCCTTGCCCCTTCCACCATGTAAGGACACAGCGAAAAGATGTCATTTATGAACTGGGAAGTGGTACCTGGCTCTGCTGTTACCTCAATCTTTGCCTTCCCAATGAATTGGCTGGTACTTCGATCTTTGCTTTTCCAGCCTCTAGAACTGTGAGAAATGTTTATACGAGTCACCTAGTTTATGGTATTTTGTGACAGCAGCCTGGATAAACTAAGGCATGAATTATTTAATTAGTAGCTTATTTTTGACCTAAAGAAAATAGGAAGCTGAAAAATCAGTGTGCATGATTAGGTCTTGACCAATTCAGTATTTATTTATTTACTTACTTATTAATTTTATTTTCAAATATATTGAGTGCCTTTTTTATATTATAAAATATTTTTTATATTATACAATATTTGTAAAGCTTATGGATGGAGACCAGATATTCAGATCTGGAGTGCCGGCACAGGTAGAAAGTGAAATCACTTCAGCAAACACAGATGATGATGACGAGGAGGAGGATGACGACGATGAGGAAGAAGAAAACGTGGATGATGAGACCCCTAGGCTCTCCAAGGAGAGAGTGAGAGCTTCACTGTCTGACTTGTCAAGCCTCGATGATGTGGAAGGGATGAGCGTGCGCCAGCTGAAGGAAATCCTGGCTCGGAATTTTGTCAACTTTTCTGGCTGTTGTGAAAAATGGGAACTGGTAGAGAGAGTAAACCGGTTATACAAAGAGAATAAAGAAAATCAAAAGTCCCATGGCGAGCGGCTGCAGCTGCAAGATGAGGAAGACGTCAGCCTGTGTGGCATCTGCATGGATGCCGTCATCGACTGTGTCCTGCCGGAGTGCGGGCACGTGGTTACCTGCACCGAGTGCGGCAAGCGCGTGAGTGAGTGTCCCATCTGCCGGCAGTATGTGGTGCTAGCCGTGCATGTGTTCAAGTCCTAAAACGGAGGCTCCCCTCAACAGGACAGTCACCCCAAACTTGACCCCAAACATTTCTATTTACAGAAGGGACTAGAAAGTTACTGTTCAAAGGCTGAAGCTATTTTTAAAAATTATTTTCACTACTAAGTGGGGACAGAAAGATCCATGCTGAGTTGTGGAAACCTTGGTCCATGCCATGAGCCTGTCTGCCTGTGGACACATGAGCTTCCCGGGCTCAGCTGGGCTTTATCACCCATCCCTTGAACACTCATTGAAGTCAGCCTGCTTGTGCCATGTGGGCAACAGCTACTGTGTCTTTGGAGGACAGTTACCCCGTTCTCTTATTTCCCCTTCATCCTGTTTTTAACTTAAACTGCTCAGATGTTTGAAACTTCTGTCCTCTTTGGGTGAGATCAGTGTCCACAAGTGGCCGACATGGAACATGCTGAGCGGGGGCTCCTCTGAATGTTCGCTTTTTTAGTCATGTATATTTTAAATGCTAACTAACATTTGATGAATGTAAGTTTCCACATTGTTGCTGTTTCTGCATTTAAACATAATTGGGAACAACTGACATTCTATAGTCGACTGCCAGGGCCTTAGACTACACATGTCCGTTTTTGTTCAGGTATAGCTTTTTATAGCAAGGGCTGCATCTAGCTTCTTTTATTAGAAGTCTGTGTGCTAAATTCTTTATTAATGTGTAATCAGTTTACACCATTTTGTATAGTGAAGGTGTATTTTCAGTGCTACCTGCTAGCTGATTTTAACTTTAGGAATAAAATTAGTTTAAAAAATATATATATTTTTTATTATAAAATATTTTTATATTATAAAAAGGCACTCAATATATTTTTATGATATAAAAAAGGCACTCAATATATTTGAAAATAAGATTATTTCACAGACCTTACATTTGATGGGAGACAGAATAGTAACAACCAAAGTCAAAGTCATGGGATAAAGTTTGGAAGTCATGCTTTTGCTTTTAGCATTCCAGTTACGCCTCAGCTTCCCCTCACTGCAGCAGCTACACCTTCACAGCCCCAGTGAGGGGATGGCAGCGGAGCACAGATAACAGAAAACTAATTCTTGTTTCTCAAATTTCTTATTGAGCCAAAGACAACAATATAATTTTTTAAAAATCCATGAGACTTAAAGTTAGCCGTCCTCACCACCACCTAGACCGTACAGGAAACCTGTAGTGGAGGACAGGAAAAATGAGAGAGCAGCTGAGGATTGGTAGGTATTGGGCTCCTTGGAAAGGGAATGCTAGATTCTGCCTCAAATCAGGCCCACCCCAGGGGTGGCGATGTTAGATGATGAAGCCACTCCAGAAAAGTCTGCAGGATTGAGAGGAGATGTGGACCTTCATTTTCCACTGACACCCTCTAAGAGCAGGGAGACAGCAGAGTGAAGGGCTGAGATCTTCTGAGACCATCTCTAACCCCCAGAAGCTTATGTTAGGAAACTGCATGTCATTAATCTCAGACGTATTTTTTTTTTCCTTTACTGACAGATACATGTAATAAACGACATGTGTTCATTTTGGACAATTACATTCTAAAAGATAAATGCTTCTCCGTGTCTGAATTTTCAAATGAAAATGAAAATGGCTTGTCATTTAATCCTTCTTTAAGTTTTCTTTACTCCAATTATAATGATGTCTTGTAAACAGGAGTGAGCTTACCTCAATTGATTTTTTTTAAGATTAATGTCCTAATATGATTAAAATCGATGCCTGTGTATTCATTTGAGATGTAGTAGGAAGAATATGCCCCTTGTTATTCTCAGACAACTGTTTGGATAAAACAAAGTACTTCGAATTTTAGAATCTGACATTTTTTTTGAGTCTCTAAGTGTGAAAAATATATATTTTCCCTGATTATGATGGATAAGGTCCTCATCTTGATTACGGTGATAGTTTCCAGATAAATACATATGCCAACATTTACTATGCTGCATAATTTAAATATATGTAGTCATATCATGCTAACTGTAGTTCAAAAAAGTGGTTAGAATCTTTTAAAATGTCATAAAAATAGGCCTCTCACATTCTTTTTAAAAAGAGATTATTCCTGGCTGGCTGCAGTGGCTCACGTCTATAATCCCAGAACTTTGGAAAGCTGAGGTGGGTGGACCCCATGAGGTCAAGAATTCAACATCAACCTGGCCAACGTGGTGAAACCCTGTATCTATTAAAAAATAAAAAACTTAGCCAGGCATGGTGGCATGTGCCTGTAATCCCAGCTACTAGGGAGGCTGAGGCAGGAGAATCACTTGAACCCAGGAGGTGGAGGCTGCAGTGAGCCAAGATTGCACCATCCCAGCAGAGCGAGACTCCATCTCAAAAAAAGAGAAAAGAAAAAGAAAGAAATTATTCCAAATACTCTTATGGTTCAAAGGTCTATTAAATTCATTAATGGCTATCACGTTTTCAGAAACTTTGCCTCCTAGACTCTATTAAAGAAAGAAAACAAAAGATTCAAAATGGTATCTATAACATACATAACACACATCCAGAGCGTAAAACCTCTGACTAATGTCCGTAGCTCATCTGTAAGAAGAGATCACAACTTACACCTCTCAAAAGGGCCTAATATCCCTCTTAATCTGAAATGTCCTCCCATGTGGTCAAGTTCTAGTCCTTGTAATATTTAGGACAAATTGGCTCTGTTCAAATCCTTTCTCCAAAAACGCTGCCAAAATCAAAACCAAGAAAGACTTAACTTTAGGTGTCAAAATGTGTTTCCTCTGAGAATATTAGCTCTTATTAAATATCAGTTCTTCAATTGACACCATCAAAATTAATATATAAATCGCTTAGCTAATCAAGAATTAGCTTATAATGCCATAATTCTAAGTAAACAAAACCTCCTCATACTTTGCAAGGCATTGGTGTTACTATTAAAAGTATAATTAAATAGCCAATATACCGTATTTTTGAAATTACTGTGCAGTCTTTACACATACATTTTTGGTGAATGAATGCAGATGTTCTGGCCATAGAGGTTGTTTGATTCCTTGCTGTGAAACGTCCCACAGGCCCTGAACATGACCTCCCTGCGCAGTCCTATTTCCTGCTTCTCTGGAAGGGAGCCCTTGCTTCATCACACCACACTGCTTGCTGTTTCACAAATGCACGTTTCCTGTTCTATCCCTCAAGTATACGTGGAAAAAGCATCTTTCAAAAACCAAATTTAAATGTTAAATTAAAAATATAGTGCCCAGTAACTACATAGAGTTTAACTGTGTAACAAATGATAGTTATCATATTCTCTTTTTTCTTGAGATGGAGTTTTGCTCTTGTTGCCCAGGCTGGAGTGCAATGGCATGATCTCGGCTCACCACAACCTCTGCCTCCAGGTTCAAGTGATTTTCTTGTCTCAGCCTCCCGAGTAGCTGGGATTATAGGTATGCACCACCATGCCCGGATAATTTTGTATTTTTAGTAGAGATGAGGTTTCTCCATGTTGGTCAGGCTGGTCTTGAACTCCTGACCTCAGGTGATCCACCTACCTCGACCTCCCAAAGTGCTGGGATTACAGGCATTAGCCACCATGGCCAGCCAGGAATAATTTCTTTTTAAAAGGAACATGAGAAGCCTTGTTTTAGTTATCATATTCTTTACTGTACCTTCCAAGTTTTTGAATAGTGGTAGCATTATCATACTATATTTGGTAATGTATTTTAGTTACATTTTACATGTATCTAACTATATCTGATTCGATTTTATCCTTGTAAATTATGAGGAGTGTTGTATCTTATTCAACTGGATCCTTAACACTTAACCGCATTGTGCCTGCTACTAGGCTCTTAATAAATATTAGCTAGAGGTTATTGACTTGACATTTATATAAGGGTTTGGAGATATTCAATCACACCTAGAACATATCATCTTGAGGGGATATAAGAGAGCAAATTATTTTCCCTATTTTTTCTCTTTTGTTATGAGCAGATAACCAGAAGGAACAAGAGTGTGAGGAAGCTGAAGTGTGTTTGTACAATTAGGGCAGAATTTGCATTACTTAGAATCTGACTCAATCAATCCGAAATTCTCCTGGGTCAGGAGGAGAAATAAATTTGCCAGTTAATCATATTTTAAACAGTGTCTTAGGCAAACTTTAATGTGATGTCAAGTTCTAGCTCAAGCCCAAGTCTGACAAAACTAGAGGTAGGGTTTTGAAAGAATCAACAAAACTAGCAAATATTAAACCAATATAGGGCTATTTGGGGAAAATCAGATAAAAATCGTTCTGACAATTTTCTGAAAATATCTGCATTTCTTCAGTTTTACTCAAGGAAACAAATGTAACATGGGTGTTTCGTTTTTGAAATTTCTGATGGTCTTGCAGTATGTCAACATTCAGTCAATATGAATCAATATTTCTTTCTCTCTCTGTCTCATACAGTGTGTTTATATGTGTGTGTACATATATTTATATATATATATATATATATATATATATATATATGTTAGATAAACATACCAAAAACTTTGTCTCCACTCACTAAATTTACTATCAGGTAGAGGAAACAGACAAAAATGTTAACTATCACATTAAGAATAATTATAAATTATGCTATAAGGACATAATAAACAGGGTCAAATATAGAAAATAGGCAGTGGTGACTCCATCAAGCATGGCCAAGGCAGGTCTTTCTAATGGGGGCGGACTATTCAAGTTGAGTTTTGAACAATAAAAGATAATTCATGCAAAACTCTAGAAAAGACGATTCTAAGCAGAGGAAAAGAATAGATCCAGAACTAAGAATAGAAAGCACTGAAACAGTTTTCTGGACTATTGTTAGCCTAAGAGGTCCTGTAAAATGGACAAATCTACTTAAGAAATCATTACCTTTTCTTCAGGAGCGAAGACTAGTTGGAATATCCAACACTTCCTGAAAAATTTCTATGAGTCGGTCACTGTTTGAAGCCCTTTATACATACTATTCCAATAATCCTATGATATTTTATTATCCCCATTTTATATATGAGAAAACTTACACAGAATGAGAATGAATAAGTCTCAAAGTCAGAGTCAATCAAGGCTTTTGGCTCCAGGGTGAATACCATTATGCTATTTTGCCTCTTCCATGTCCTGGAGGTTTTAGGAAGCCAGTATAAAGATTCCATAAACAAGCTTGATTGGACAGTACCGGGATGGAACAGTAGTGTTTAGGAGGGGGTGAGCTAAAAGTCCACAAAATCCTGTCTCCTACCTACTTTCCTCCCTTCCTCATCTCTCCAGGACTGAGAATAAAGAAAATAAGAGCATCAGAATTATTTGTTCAATAGATATAAC